CACACACACACACACACACACACACACACACACACACACACACACACACACACACACACACACACACACACACACACACACACACACACACACACACACACACACACACACAGGCTGTAAATGCACAAATACATCTTGCACATGGAAGGCCTTTGAAGCAGCCCTCCTCCACCCACACCTTCTCCTCTTTTTCCTGCAGGATCACAGCTCAGCGCCACCTTTTCATTCCCCACAATATGTGCATCTCTGCAGACCCCCCCTCCACCCTCCAGCTCCGACTCTTCCCATTTTCTTTAGATCGTTACCTGGCTCTCCGTCTGAAAAGCATAGCTGAGTCTCCAGACCGGTATCGGTGACGGTGTTATTGTGCAGCGGAACAGAGCGCGGAGCATCTCGAAGGCAACAGCCGCAGCTGACCAGCCGCCGGTACCGATCAGGCCATGGACCCGGGGAGACCCGCACGGAGCCCGGACCCGGGTTCTGGAGGAGGCGGAAAAGAGGCTTCACTCCTGCCCGGGGCTCTGACCGAATTTATCTGGCTGTGCACCGACAGTTCTATCAAATCTCTGCCGGGACGACGGCCGACACACACAGGGAGAACTGAGATAAAGAGAGCGTGAATATGAGCGTCTAATACTTCGCGGACACCTTCAAAATAAAAGCATTTTTACGGATTTGCATGAGACGGGTCCGAAAATCCGGAGTTTTTAATCCAAAAAAAGGTCTCCACTTTTGTTTGGGTTACTTGTATTGTTATGTATAGGCCTATATTTATATCTATACATTGTATAGGCCTATATTTATATCTATACACTTCCAGGATTAAAAAGCTAGAAGGAATTGCTGTAGTATTCATTTATTTACTTGTTTATGTATTGATTTACTATTATTTTGTTGGCCTAATCGCAGTAAAACAAATGTAGACCTACCAATAATCTTGTAAATTACGATTATTTAAGATTTATCGTTTGGTCTAAGAAATGTCTGAAATTGGCTAAATAAATCCATTCCAGTTTCTCAAAGTTCAAGATAATGCTCTTTTATGTCAAATATATTTAGTTTAATATGATAAAAAAGAGTAAAGTAGGGAAACACTATATTGAAGAGGTTCAAAACTGCTTTTTCTGATATTTTAGCATGACACAATTACTAATCAAACGGTTATCCGATTGTCAAAAAACCAAGCAATTTGTTTTAGGTTCATGATTAATTATTGCAACTTTAAACAATAATGGAATCAACAGATCCTGTTGTTGTTTAAAAGCCTTTACACTTGTTATTCTAAATGATTAAGTTCCCACTGACACTTTAAGTGACAAAGTTTGTGGTTTTATTTTGAAGGCAAAGTGACGCTGACGGAAGTGAATCACGAGAAAAATATTTAAGGATACATTTAGTCCCCATGATGCATGGCCCTACCTCATCGCCTGTTAAAGTCATGTTTTGCCATTGGAGCGCAATAAATAAATATTATTTCACACAACAATGTAAAAGCACAGTACTGTGGTTGAACTAATGCATGCATATCTGTTTATTTAATTACATTGTGTTAAAGTATTTCACAAATATAGCCTATTTATAAGAACATATGGCCACACATCAAATGATTTATATTAAAAACATTTTAATTTAAATACATTAATGTCTGAATTCTGACTTGAATCTCTGAATTCTGAAATGTTGCTGCAGAACAAGTACTTTTATGTTAAGAATGGATTTAATGTAGCACCCTGGGACGGTTATATATAAAATTTACTGACCTTCAGTCCCCATTGAAAGGAATGGTGGTACAGAGATCCTGAATAGTAACGGATGTGAGAGGTCTTCTTTTAATAGCTGACCTTTGTTTAAGTCACCACAAAGCACCAATTGACATAAGCCTGGGAGAAGGAAGTGTTGTTATTGTTGTAAAATAATAGGGGGAAGAAGGACTCAGATCTTATGCTTCAGTAAAAGTTTCAATTCCACAGTGTAGACATACTCTGTAACAAGTAAAAATGCTGCAATCAAAATGTTAGATAATTAAAAGTATAAAAGTATTAGCATCAAAATATTCTTACATATACACTTTTTTCAAAGTGGTCATTTTCAGAATAATATATAATATATCACTGTAGTATAATTAGTGATGCATTCACGTGTCTATCATTTGAATGTTTCAGCTGTTAGAGGACCAGAAAACATAAATAACTTCTTATACTGCCAGATAACTCTATCCATAACAGCATATTCAAGTATATTATTAAAATTGTATTAATAAAATGTACCTGCAAAAGTTACTTATGCTTTCAATTAAATGTAGAGGAGTAAAAAGTACAATATTTGCTGACAAAATGTAGTGGAGGAGAAGTATAAAGTAGCATAAAGTGAGAATACTCAAGTAAAGTACAGTACTTGAGTGACTTTGCACAACGGAAAATAATAATTCAACTTAATGTCTGCAGGACAGCAAAAAATGTAGAACTTTTTCTTTCCCTATTTCACCTCCAGGATTTGAAGCGGAAAATATTGTGAGAGCAGTGAAGTCATTATGTTTGATATTTTATTTTCTCTTTATTCTTATATGGCTTTCGACCGCTGGACCTTTGCTCTAATGCAGTATTGTTATAAAGGATTTTAGTTACTCAACACCTCACAAAAGCAGCAATATATTCCCAACTCTTTGGCTCGAATGTTGGGACGATGGAAGGATTTAAGCTGGAATACAAATTCAAATGTCTGGCGTCGTGTTTTGTCCCCCTGAGAGTATTCTTTCTCCCTGCAGAGTTGAAGTGCAGTTGAGCTGTGCAGGTCAGAGCGGCTGCTGTTCAGTAACCTCACATTGCAGCTGTTAACACACATCATCTTTTCACCAACTGCTCACTGTTGCTCACACGCAGCCGGCTACTTATTGATTGCTGAACACTATGGTTCATCAATGTAAATCAACATTTCTCTTTACACAGGGAGATGTTATGACACGCTACTTCGCATTTGTTTACAGAATATTTAAAGGGGACCTATTAGGCAAAATCCACTTTTTCCTGTCTTCTACATAAGCATGTGTCCCCTCTGTGTAAAGAGATTCTGAAAGTTTCAGCAAAAAAGTTTCTCTCTCTTTTCGTCCTGATCCATTTATATAAAAAGTAAACCTGTCTGAAAATGAGCTGATCAGATTTTGGCCACTTTATCATGTCATAACGATTTTTTTGCTGGTGTAACCATTAGCCAATCAGCAACCAAGGAAACCCCCCGCCCCCCCCCACCCACCTTATCACCTGAATCTCCTCCTAGAGCACCACCGTGTTCTTTTTATCCAAATNGTGGACGGTCGGAGCATATACAACGTTAGCTTAGCCGATCTCCATTCAGAAAACATACATTTTAAAAGGTTTTTCGCCTGTCGTCTGTCTGCAGACTTGACAAGTCTGCAGACAGACGACAGGCGAAAAACCTTTTAAAATGTATGTTTTCTGAATGGAGATCGGCTAAGCTAACGTTGTATATGCTCCGACCGTCCACACTCACAACAACGGCCTACAGACATAAATAAACCAGCGACTGTATTCGCCATGACACAGACAGTCTGTGGTTTGTACTTGTTTAACTTTTGTCTAGTTTCTGAACAGATATGAAGAGCTGTGAGCTCTGAGTGCTAACAGCTAACGGCTGATGTTGGTTTTGTGGTTCGCATTGAAGATGACGTCACGGCTCCGCCTACACTGCGTTACTATAGTTACTACCCCAGCTACTAAACTGTAATGGAAACGCAGCATAAAGTGAGCCTGTACTACCAAGGCCTAACTATACCGTACTAAGCCGTGCGAGGCCCTGTAGTGGAAATGCGCCATAACAGATCTCGTCCTGCACCACTGAGTACAGATAGTTCACTTGTTACTGTTTAAATACAGCAGGAAATGTAATTTCCCCATGTCAAACTGTCTCCCTGTCTCTTAGCTTTGACAATACTGCTGCAAACTGAAGAGAGAAAAAAAAGGGAGAATCAATGATGTTTCATCACAATGCCACACATTCCCTTTAATTCATTTTCAGCATTGGTCATTATGACCTAACCCCCCTGTACTCCCCGTTCTCTCTCTCACACACACACACACACACACACACACACACACACACACACACACACACACACACACACACACACACACACACACACACACACACACACACACACACACACACACACACACACACACACACACACACACACACCATTCTCTTTCTCCTCTCCGGCCCGAGGCTAGCAGTCATGTCCGTGTTTAGCACGTCATTCACATCCTCCGTTCTGATTGGACAGTTATTTTCTCCCTTTTTGCCACTATGCTGCCGTGCACTGAAGTGTATCCGGATGACCCTGACACATCAGAGCGGAAGTAGTTATTAAGAATGACATGGTCAAAGTTTACTTACATCCCGTGGATAAAAAAACGTGTGATAATATGACTTTATCAGCAGAAACATTGGTCGGATAATGCAATATCCAAACTATATACAGCATTAATTATCTTTATTTGGTCAACAGATTTCACATAACTGTATTAGGTTAGTTGAACGCAATATTATCAAGTTTAAATAACAAATAATAGGTTCAAATTAATATATTTGCTTTCAATTAACCTAATACAATTATGTGAATAATACGTTTAATTAGTCAGTTTCTCAGTGTAGGCTGGTCCTCTTGTCTGTGAATGTTTTCAGGCTGATGCTGATGAAGCCTTATTCATGTTTACTTTACGACTCATCCAAATCTCCCCCTCTCTCTCTACCCTCTCTTCTTCCTCCCCCACCCCTTTATTACCTCCTCCACCCTCATTTCCTCATCGCTCTTTTGACATGACATCACGTCCCCCTCCTCCACCTCGAAAACATCATCTCCCCTTCCCCACCCACCACCCCCTTTTGTCCCCCATTAACAACATCATCACCCTTCTCTCCCCTCCACCATAATTTCCTTCACCTTCTCCTTCTCCTTAATCTTCTTGCCTCACCCTTCTATACCTTCCTCCATCCATCGCCTCCCCCCAGGATGTTGCGGTGGCTGGTGTGTGGCCGGGTGGGCACAGTTTGGATCTGGAAGGCTCTGCTGCTCTTCGTTGCCATCGCCTTCGCTGTCCAACTGTTGGGGGTCATCTTCAACAAGAGGTATCTATTTTGATTTACTAAATGTTTCTTTGATTTAACTTATTTCTTTTGCATTGCAGTTCTAAGAAGGTATGCACGATGATATTGGCACAACATCAGTATCGGCCGATTTAAATCTGCTCCAAAAAAACAACATTTTCTGTCTTTGTTGTGATCATTTTCGTCTGACCGGCATTGCCAAAATAAAGCTTTTCATGCAATTTATACAGACTAGAAAAGGCGGAGCGCTCAGAAAAAAGACGCCAGGCTCTTTGCTTTTTCTGGAGGCGACCGCTTCCGAGCGTTCTCATTGGAATCAATTGAAAAAATAAGCTTCTATTTTTTGAAAATTGATAAAATAAGCTTCTATTTTTTAATTCAGACTTAATTGAGTGTAAGCAACAGTCTGCAAATATATACTTATTTTGAGCAGGCATAATCATTTTTTCCATTCACCACAGAAGACAATTGATGTTCTAAGCCAGTGGTTCTCAAATGGGGGTACGCGGACCCCTAGGGGTACGTTGGAGTACAGGGGGTATGTGAGATTCATTTTATGTTAATGGGAAAAAAAACATAATTAATGCATTTAAACAAACTACTAGTAGTAGATGAACTACTTTATTCAAAAGTTTACAGTAATTCTGGATAATAAAATGGGAAACATAAACGGGGTGCTCTCTTTTCCTCTCCCTATCCTGACAGCCCGTCAGTCTTGTGCAGCTCGCTGAACCTGTAATAAGTGACCCGACAGTAAAGAATAAATATATGTATAGTTTAGCTAGTTCCAGAGTAGATAAACTAGCTAAGTGTGTTAGGTCTAACTCTTAGTGATATGATCTCTGATCTCTCTCTCGCGTCCGGTTATACTTCCCTCGCGTTTATGTCCAAATCTATCAGATCTAGCTAGTTGTAGTTAATTATATGACTGCCTGCTTATCAAAGGACCTAAACAATAAGCGTTGCTTGGCAACGGCGTGTGGCCGCAAAGTATAGCGTATAGTATAACTGCAGTTGCCTCCCTGTCACGAGAAAGACAAAGATCCTCAGTGAAGCACAAGTCCATGTTTCTCACTAAATTGTAAGTACAACTTATTAAAAAGATCAGTTCAATGCAAGTATTATTATGATGTTATTGCATGATGTTAAAATTGGTTTGCCATGAATTTAGTGATGGATTGTAAACATTTGAAATGTAGCATTTAAGTGTTTCTCTGTTAAAAGGTTGTTGTTTTAACATATCAGACGCTGATGGTGCAAGGCTGTACTGTACCTCTTTATATAGGCATTTTTTCCCTAACAAATTGCTTTTGCGCTGATCAGGGGGTACTTGGCTGAATATTTTTTTTCAAAGGGGGTACATTATTGAAAAAAGTTTGAGAACCACTGCGATTAGGTGGAAAAGGTACATCCTCAATCTGCCAAAATTCAGCATAGCCCAGCTGTCAAACATTGCTGATTCTCACAGTAGAACGAGGTTTAGGTTTATACACTACTTATACCTTATTGGTATGATAATTATTTTTGAGATTGAGGTAGACTGAGTATGTTTTGGTGAATAGCTGTGCACAGAAACTGCTTCCTCTCCATGTGACGGTGGCAACCACGAGAATCACCGCCAGGAAGTGAGGAGAACAATACAGGATCTAAATGTGCTGATACCGCAATTTACCACAGGGAATCTCTTTAAAAACATTACAAAGAAATAGTTGTTTTCACACACTGACTTGGAGCACTATCAGCGTCACATTTTGATTATGTTCTAGATATTATTAGTAAGTGTGTTTTGAGCGCTGCAACCAATCCTTTTATTTAATGGCGTTTATCCAATTGAAAAGGTAATCATAGAAGATGTCTTCAAACGTTTTGTATTGTCTGACCAACCATTCTGAGCCCAAATATATTCATTTACAGTACTTAAAAAACCGAAATCTTTACTAATTGAATTGCCATGAATTATCTGCAGATTAAGCTCACACGGTGGGACTGTTCATTTACATCGTACGCCATTTTCTCTTAGTTTCCCGTGAGGTTGGGCAGAGCCTTGCAGTGAAAACAGCTAGTTAGTTTCATTTCAATGGTTACATCCCCTGCCTGCTTGCACCGCTGTCATCTGATTGGTTGTGCATGGAAAGGTCACCGATCCACAAGGTCAAAGTCGGAATAATTTGAACATTAAGCGCACTGCCTGGTGACCAATTTTCCAAAGAAACACAACGTCAGCACAGAGCCGTTTTACCACTTGTTATGTGACTACAGCTAGTTATTGAACTTGACTTTACGTCTGTTACGCAAAAAAATACGCTTATTATCCTGTTTGTGCTTCCTCTCTTTCTTGTGTTTTTCGCACATCTCAGCATGTGAAGGCGATGATAACAGGGATCTCTGAAGAGCAAGGCTGTCATGGGGTTTTAATGCTTGTTGAATTTAAGTTAATCTGACACTCTAAAATCCGCTGAGATCTGTTAGCAGCCTGTGTTGGCCGAGGAAAAGACTATAACATTAAAAATGTGCTTGAATCTTGTCGTTACAACCTGAACATGAGCTCTCAGCAGCATGAGGTGTGAAATATGTATGTTTCATTGACACAAGCTGTGTTGGTAGTTTCCCTGCCACATGTTTTATTTATTTCTATTTTTATTTGTCATTTAAAAGATAAAAAAGGGCACTACGAGGTTAAAGGGAAGACTGCTCAGGGTTATAATGGACAATCCATTCAGTAATCATTACTCTTGCTGTTAATGCTGTTAAAATGTGCAAGCATTTCTTTTTAATGGGTAACATGCTCCACCTTGTACCAAGTGTTCTAGCCTCTGAGAAATCAGATGTTCTTTTTTATTTAGTTCTTGTACAGTTGCTCTATTTTAAGATACCATTCATGGGCACATTATGTTTTAATAGACTCTATTCGGTACAGAATGTATTTTTAATAACATAATACTGAAGTAAATTATTAATCCTAAAGTAGAACTTTCCATTTAACTCTGTCCTCTAACATCTGGGTCCAAGGGCCCTAGGGGGGGTTCAGGTTGCAGTCCCTCAGCTTGCATTTCTAGTGTGGTCAGGGCATAAGGACTGGATTTTCAATGATGCTGCCTACTAACAGACTTACCCACTAGAGCTGAACTGAGGTTGAGTTTCACTGTGCGCCGTGCCAATATTGACGTTTGAATACCAATCCCTTAGATATGGCTACTAAATAATAAAGTACATGCCCTTTGATAATTAATCCATGCACTTACGGCTCAGGCCCTAACATCCCAAAAAGTGTTTTTAATTCACAATAATTCTTCATCCGTCTTTGGTTTTATATATCATAAATGGAAAATGTTAAATTATAACTGTTTTTTCTCAAGAATTTGGTTTAATGCATTGCTGTCTTTAATCAGAACATTTTCTATTCTGAGTGTACATATAAGTGCAAGATAGATGAGAAGATTATTGAAAAACTCCCTAAAGCACATTAACATCACACAGATTAAATTAAAGCTGCATTAATAGATTTTTTGGGGCAACTTTGGAGCTGAAAAGTAGTCAAAATTCACATATTATCCCCTTATTAAGTTGCTTTGTTGAACAAATTAGAAAATAAATGCCTACTAACTAACACATCCAGCAGTGACAGGACATGATTCATGAGTCCAGTATTAACTATCCTTTCAGCTCTGGTTTGGTCTCTTCAGTCTTCTGTTGAAGGTGTCTTTATCCCTAGCTGCTAAATGCTCCTCTGTGTTCCCCTGCTAGTTTCTAACTGTGTCTGTTTGCCCAAAGTCTGAAAAGCAATGTAGACTGAGGAGTTACTACAGAGTTGCTGTTTTTTTTTCTGTGGTTTAACTACCTTAACTTTACTTTCACCTTACATGGAGTCACTTAAGGCTGCATTAAAGTAGCATGGGCCACACAGGGCTACAATGTTTTGGGCATTACTCAGGACTGCAGTCTAATGTTCTGACTGGTGTATAATCATTGTAAGGGTTGCAAACTCATCAGGTCAAAAATATGACATAGCTCCTAGAGGAGTCTGGGGCAATAAAAAAAAAAAAATCAACTTTAAAGAGCCTGTGACACGAACCCAACAACTGTTGTGCAATGAAATAGTGGGCTACTAGTAATCTCGAACCGTCAGTTTAAAAAAGAAAAAGCGATACCGTTCCGATAAATATCAATAATTTCGAACATCGCGGGAAAATTCCTTCGACTCATTTTGAGGTTTTGGGGGAAGCCGGAAGTGACGTCAATGCGGGAACGCTTCACTGTGCGGCGAGAGAGCCAAACACGGACAAAGTGTGTTGTCATGCGTAGAAATTGTGAATTACTGAGTTTAGCACGTAATAACTTAAGTGATAGTTGACTGTACAGGGTGAGGTATCAGATACTTTGATCACGTAAAGAACTAATTCATGTCCAAATGTTTTGTGTAGGAAAGATGGGAAACGATAAGGTAAGGATGACCTCGGATGCAGGGGGTGAATATGAAGGGGATATGTTAAATCTTTATGAGAGTAAAAATTGATACATGAGGAAGTGGGTAGTGAGAGTCTTGTTGAATTTATGTGCACATCGCGCGCTGGGTTCGATGTGATTATTAAAAACAAATTTGAAGTTATATGTGTGTGACACTCAAAGAATGAGAATGATAAACTATTAATAGTGCTTGTATCATGTACAGATCATCCTTCTGAGTTCGAGGCTTTAACAGTTTAAGATACTTTGTTAAGTTTTGTTTGTGAAGTGTATGTGATGGGTTGATTTAAATAAAATCTTTTGTATAGGAGAAAGCCGAAGGATCTGCATATTACACATGGAAATGAAGAAATGACAAAACCTTAGATCTATTTTTTTGTAGGTTGCCTAATGTCAGTTAGATGTGTTAATGTTGGTCGATTGGATCGACAGGAAGAAGCTGGTGTATTGCCTGGTTTACCATGGAAACGATTATGTGAAGACAGACCAAAATGAATGGTTGCGGTGTGTTTGTTGGAATGAGTCTAATACATCTAAAATCTCGATTGTGCAGTGTT